CGCGTGTGCGAGTGTTCAGAATAATTTGGGAACAATATGGTTTTTAGATGCACCTGGAGGAACTGGGAAAACCTTTTTGACTAAATTAATATTAGCTTATGTTCGAAATCAGCGTAAAATTGCTCTTGCCGTGGCTTCATTAGGTATAGCTGCAACATTGCTACCAGGAGGTAAAACTGCTCACATTATGTTTAAAATACCAATTGATTTAGATCGCACGGAAAGTCCAACCTGTAGTATTTCAAGAAATAGCGACAAAGCTAAGGTATTTCGTGAGTGTAATTTAATCATATGGTATGAATGTACGATGGCCCACCGAAAAGGAGTAGAAGCGGTAGACAGAAGTTTAAGGGATATAAGACAAAATGATCGACCAATGGACGGTATCACGGTTTTATTTTGTGGTGATTTCTGACAAACCTTACCGGTAATACCACGGGGAACCCGAGCTGATGAGGTTAGGGCTTGCCTAAAAAGCTCTTATTTGTGGCGTGATATACAATCGATACATTTGACTATAAACATGCGAGTGAGAACTGGAGATAACCCGGATGATCGTCAATCGTCGGTTTACGGTGACGTAACAATTATATTAAATAGAGACAATTTTTGGCTATGCGATGACCAGGCATCTGAGATTAATAACAAAATACTGTCGAATATATACGGGGAATGCAAAGTTTATAGTTCAATAAATAGAATGGTCGATGAACACGAAGCCACTAATTACCCGATAGAATTTTTAAATTCTTTAAATATGCCCGGACTTTCTTCTCGTGAAATTTGTTTAAAAATTGGCATTCCGATTATTCTGCTCCGAAATTTAAGACCACCACAACTTTGCAATGGAACTCGGCTAAAAGTAACCCAGTTGCAACAAAATATAATCGAGGCTCAAATTTTAACAGGTTGCGGTGCAGGAGAAACCGTCTTTATTCGCAGAAATCCCATAATACCAAATAATTTTCCATTCCAATTTAAAAGAACGCAATTCCCAGTATCGTTGTGATATGCAATGACAATTAATAAGGCTCAAGGGCAGACTTTTCGTGTTGCTGGAGTAGATCTCGGTGTCAGTTGTTTCTCGCATGGTCAGTTGTACGTCGCTCTTTCCCGGGTTAGCAGTTCTAGAAATCTTTATGTTCACGTGCCGGACGGGTCAACTTTCAAAATAGTTTACCCGGAAGCTTTGCGCTGAAGTATATTTATTCTATAAGTACTTAAGCCTCATGTGAACGTGATCTAAACAATATTACCAATATATTAACTTAATAACACACAAGGAGTTACACTCCATCCAAAGCCCAGCGACACTATAACATATATAGGAATGACGTCTTAGCAAAAGTTGTTTAGTCTGATGGGCATTTCCTGTTGACCTACAAAAATGAAAGATCTAGAACGTCTCGAATCGTCTCGCGAATCACATTGTTTTCCCGTCCCCGGGCTCTTAGAATTCAACATCAGACGTTTCAGATCTTCGATTTTGACGACCCCGTTGTCGCTAGCATAAGCAACAGGATCCGCGTACGAAGTCGCGGGCAGAAGCTAGTTAGTAATATAGTTGTAGCACGAATGGGTCGGCTCGACCGGGGAACGACCACGCTCTCATAGAATACCACCGTAAAATAGCAGCCTAACACTGCTGTGTTTCGTATGGTGAGTGTGGACAACCGGAGACCCTTTTTACTGTAAAAGAGGCATTCCATCTTAGTCCTCACGGGTAACAACGCATCTGCATTTTGATTCGTAGTTGAGGATATATGTAGATGTCCATGGGTCACAGCAACCACTTACCATCAGGTGGACTGTGTGCTAGTTTGTCACCCAATCCTATAAAAAAAGGAGATGGGCAGTAGCTTCTTTCTGATGACGACTCAAAATTATGAAAACTCCGGTTGCCGATCCGCCTGCCAAGTATGTAAGTCTCTGTTTTCGGCAGTGAACTTTAAAAAAAAAGGATAGTTCAGACTGCCTCTGAAATCGGAAAATTGGAAAGTCGATTTCGGCGTTAAACAAAACTCGACAGAAGAGCAATATAAAATTTATTCTTTACAACTCATCGAGGAATATTATAACACCAAATTAATTTAAATAAAATATAGAGATTGGATGTCTTTTTTTAATGCTAACAAAATAAAATTAACATTTATTCCATCGTGGTATAAAAATATTCGTAAAAATTGAAAAAAAAAAAGAGATGTTACAAGAGTTACGTGAGTGTTCGTTGCCATCTTGTGAAGACTGACGTTTCTGTGGTGTCCGTCAACAATACGCATCTAGCGGGCAAACATGCAGTACCGTGATATCCCTCCGCAAATACATTTTCAAATATTTTCATTACACTAAGCCAAATAAATAACTTTACCAAAGCTCTAAGAATATTTAAGATACGACATAATAATGACATTTAAAAATATAGGTACGTTAATCGTGTCTCTAAATCAAAGAACAACATAAGTGCTTAGTAATTAATTACCTCAATAATTATCTGACTTATAGTACAAGTGACGTACACATTACACATCATTTTTATAAACTTGTCACCTTATTTTTTAATTACCGGATAGACACGATTATATAAATTTAATGATTGACGAACATTTTGTTTACGCATCACGTATCTATAATTTTTAATTATCTCTGATATAATCTATAATTAGCCTAAACCATGAAAACAGATTCTTTTTTTTTATTAATTGATAATTCCGACCTTGCTTCAAACTTATATAGATTATACAAATAAATTAAGCATTGTGATATACTCACAATGCAAAAAAATTGTATTTACGACGATAAACTAGCACTATACGATACAAATTCCTTATTGCGTTACATTTTAACATAGTAAAGTCAGCCTTTAATTATAATTTAGTAAGCTAATGGCCATTACTTGCATACAGTAAAGAGTGGTTCTTTAAAATTATTGTTTCATTAGGGTTACGCTAGTTCATTTAGAAAATTTAGAATCGAGTAAAGGCAGCAGAGTCATGACGATAGTTTTTCAAAATTCTACCAAACGTTGTTTGAACGTTAAAACAAGAACAGCGATTTCCCGCCAAAAATAAATCAAAAACTAGATTAAAAATTATAATTAATTATAAATACAAACATTATAAGTTACTTAACTGTGCTGCCTCGCATATCTCTGTAACATAACCTATATAATGATAGGTATTATAGAAATGTCTCGATTTTTAGTATTGTCATGTTAACAACTAGACACGATCAAGCTGTGATTAAGTTGTTGAAATTTGCTGAATTTAAATGACAGATTTGTTTATAATAATACCGGTCGTAAATTGTATTGTTTTATTATATTATTTTATATTGATAAGTTTCTTTTTATTGGTATTACATGTTTTTATTTAGAAATGTCGGGTGCATTTAAGTTGGTCTACATCAGTTTCAGCACACTCAATTCTTATAACCATGGTTTTCTTGTGCGTTTGTCAATAGATTGTATGCCTGAATTTGCTTTTTTTTTTAAATAAAAAAATCATGGTTTAGCGTAGGTTTGTTAAGGTAAGGCCAAGCAAAATGTAAAATATTTTTTAGTATAACTGTGGTATTGGTTACAAGGCCTACAGCCAAAAAAAATTATACATGCAACGCTGTAATACATTATCCAGTATATAAAAACGTTAAAAAATTATTTCATAATATGTTAATGTATCACATTGAAGTTTCTGGATTTCCGATGATAGCTAAGTCAGCATACAGTAGACGACGATAGTATCTCAAGGCCCCAAAACGGGCACAATATATTGCAATTTATATCACAATTACTGAAGTTGTTTCAAAGAGACATTAAATACACAAAATCGCACAACTTTTACTTATCAAAATCTACCTTAAAACCTTATTAGAATATTAGAAAGGTAATATTCCCACCAAAATTTATATTATACATAATTTGCAATTGATCATTGTTTTAAAGACTTTTTGGGAATGGTTTTGAACGCTTAGCATTTTTGCCAGTCCAAATCATTTTATTCTTAAAATTCTTCACAATATCTCGCACCATAAATTCGAATATTTGGGCGATTTATGAGGGGGACTACACAACCCAAGAGAATCAATGAAGATAGTATTTCGAAATTCTTCTATACATTACCTAAACGGCAATACAAGAATTGCAGTCATTTTCCCGCCAAAAATCAATTTGATCGGTTGTAAAATAAAATGTCATCTTAGTAAACATTAGATTTAAAACAGATTCTAAACATTAAAAATTACTCAACTGTGTGCTGTTTCTATATCTCTATAAAACCTACTTACTGATTGGTATCATACACATAACTCGATGTATCCAAATTGACATGTTAACAATTAGGCACCAATTACATTACAAGCTGTTTTAATATTTTTGTTGAATTTTTGTTGGCTGTCCAAAGTTAAAGAGTATTGTGATTATGTTCGATATTATATTAGACAGGAAAACTAGTACGTAAATGATCCTTTTTTGTGTATTATAGTGGAGAACACAATAAATACACGTACATAAGTCGTCACTTTTACAAGACTGATAACAATACAAGATAAATCTAAGTTGAATATGATGAAAAAAAAGTTAATGCAAAATTTAACCTCTTTTTATTCAGAAAAATGTACATTAACAACTTAAATGAATATTACAGCAAACAATTCACATTTGAATTTTTAATGAGTTTTTTTTTCAATATTATCTGTGTGACCAGTTGACAATAACTAAAATCTTTTTCAGGTACTAATCGAGTGATTTCATTGTTCAACTAAATGTAAGGTCTTATCTGCATGAAGAGAATGTTACTGGTGATTAATTTTGGATACATAGAAAAAACAAAATTTTAAAAGAATTCATTTAGTTTACCAAGCTCTCCTTAGCTGTGTAACTGTCACGAAAGTGATTTATATAAGCGATAGGAACAAGACGGTACTGCAACTTGTGAAACTAGCGTTATGTCGACGCATCGCAGCAAGCTGGGCTTTAGCTTCCTTAACCTAAGAGCGATATTAGCTTAGCTGCCAGGGTCGTCGGGTTTCTGTTTGGAGCGCTTCAGCTGCTGTAAGTAATGACGCTGTATTGGCTTGTGTAACGCCAGCTGGGCGAGTGCGTCGTCTATAGAGAACCATTGCCTTTTTCTGCCCATCTGACGCGAGTCCTCCCACTCCGCCAGCTCCTGGGTTACAGTCATAACGTACACCTCTGTTCGGTGTTTGTGTTCCCGGTTCTGGAAGATTAAAAAATTGCAATAAGTTTTTGCAGATGTAACGTATTATATGCTGACAAAGAATACCAGCGTGAAACAGCAGAAGAAAAGGGGTGGCAACTCATGAACATTTTGATTCTTAATCGAGGTTAGATATTATAATGTAAATATGTAATATAATGTAACCCAATAATTGATTTTGGTCCGACCTGGGGATCCATGAACAGCAATCACCGTTACGACCACTAAGCCTTCGAGGCAAGTTAGATTTTTTTGACTCTTTTCACGGGACATTTCCCTTTAGTCTGGAGGAATAACAATGGATCTTTTTTTATAGGATAGTGTGACAAACTAGCACACAGTCCACCTACCTGATGGTAAATGGTTGCTGTGGCCCATAGAAATCTACATCTGTCCTGGTTTTCGAATCAAAATTCAGATGCGTTGTAACCCGTGAGGACTAAGATGAAATGCCTCTTTTCCAGCAAAAAAGGTCTCCGGTTCTCTACACTCACCATACGAAACACAGCAGCGTTAAGCTGCTATTATGTGAGAGCGTCGTCCTTCCCCGGTCGAGCGGACCCCATAAAAATAAATGTAATGCTACCATAATCTTGTACATTGCTGGTTTTCAGCCATTCACATCACCCTGAGGTGTCATATAGGAGCATCTGCAATATTTTGTAAATTTATACGATGCAGCCACATAGAGGTATATAGAGGATAATATTTGTAAACTTCTTTTACATCGTGTAGAAGTGAGATTCAAAATTAAAAATGCAGATTCAAAATTAGAAATGCAGATTTTATACGTGGTAGAAGAGCCATGCTGCAGCTATATTGGTAGTATAGATGTGGCACGAATGGGTCGGCTCGACCGGGGAAGAACTACGCTCTCACAAAATACTAGGGTAAAATAGCAGCTTAATGCTGCTGTGTTTCGTATGGTGAGTGTAGAGAACCGGAGACCCTTTTTACTGCAAAAGAGGCATTCCATTTTATTCCTCACGGCTGACAACGCATCTGCATTTCGATTCGAAAACGAAGATAGATGTAGATGTCTACGGGCCACAGCAACCACTTACTATCAGGTGGACTGTGTGCTCGCTTGTCCCCCTTATCTTAAAGGAACCACTAACGATCAAGTGGACTGTGTGCTCATTTGTCACCATCATTCTAAATAAAAAATTACTGCACAAGCGAACCACTTTCCTGTTGCTATCTTTGTCTTTTTATGATGTTAATTATTTTCAAGCTTGGTCGTACTCTTGCTTTGCTTGTCTAGCTTAGTTGTACTTGTTCGTTGCCTTAGTCGTACCTACGTAAAATCGTAATGAATCTCCGCACACAAACGCCACGTTTTACTATCATAATGTCACATGATTAATGAGTAATTGCTTCATAATGGAAGATAGCGCAATCAGCTTTAGAACTGTTACCAAGTTAAAAGAATCAACATTTACCTAAAAATATCTAAAAACGCAAAAACACACTAATCACTGCGAGAGGTCAAGTTAAAGATTAGGATATAACATACAGTTTATAAAATAAAAGTAAAAAAGTACAGTAAAATAATTTATTTAACTTAATTTATAGTTAATGTAATAACAAAGACGGCACTCGGCCCACGGGTTAGACTCCCGAACGGAGAAAGTGTTTTGGGTTTGGATGTATGCCCGAGTGCAATTTATGTACGTATGTAAAACGCCTCCCCGATACAGGTGAAAATTCTGCGTTTAAAAACATTGAAATACCATATGACGGAGCTAGTAATTTTATGATGTTATTAATAATTCATTAGAAAAAAAGTAAAAACTTATTTAAAAACTATAATAAGACCCTCCAGACCGAATTTCGGTCACGGTGGCGTGTGTCAATAGAGCCTAGCCATCTGCGCAGGACAGGATAATAGTGCTCAAGTATACGCGCAAGCACAGGTGCACTCTCTATTCCCTCACTCTCATAGTCCGATGGGACGGTAAACCGACACGACCGGCGAGTACACTGGTCTCTGACTAAGAATTTCTTAAATAAAACTAACTTTTACGGATTATATCGCGTTTAATTTGACTTTTTAATTCCCGACGTTTCGGGTGCTTTACAACACTCGTGGTTACAAACGGGGGGGGGGGGGGGGTTAGACGTCCCGATGACATAGTTAGCCTGGCTACCTTCAGTTTTTAAATTTTAATATTATTATTGGTCGGATTTACACGGAATGACCTTATAGTATCTTCAATTCTTGAAGTGGTAGTATGCTTGGGTTTGAATTTAATTTAATTAATTATAGGGTCCCAAGCAGAAGCAAGAGTCGGTGTTCCTTAGGGAGGATTTGTGATCTATCAAATCTAATGTAATGGCGGGGACGATCATGAACATGTTCACAGAGTGCAGACTTCCCGGAACGGAAGAGCTTCAAGTTAGCTATATGTTGTTTTACGCGGGTTTTTAAACATCTTTTTGTTTGTCCTATGTAGGAGAGACCACATTCACGATTTAGCTTGTACATTCCTGCATCTTGTAGAGGGATATGACACTTGACAGATGGTAAAAATTTACTAATCTTCTTTGGCGGCTTGAAGTATGTTTTAATGGAAGCTCGCTTCAAGATGCAACCTATGATGTATCAAAAAGACATCGGCTTATCCGAGCCTGAATACATGCAATACAGTACAACGAATCCAAACGTGAAAATACAAAAGTTTCGGGGTATTTGCTCACGTGACATTTATACATATAATCATACAGCGACCATGACTTATAAAACGTACGTGTTGATAAGAATATAATAGCATTTGAGTAACGGTATCCTTAAGCTAATAACAATGACAATAAGTATAGGATTACGGAGCTGGGAGTTTTGAGGTTTAATTAATAACTAGCGATCCGCCCCGGCTTCGCACGGTAGATTTCTGGATCTCGACAACAACGCCACCTACCGGGTCCAATTGTGAAACTAAACCATTATCTAATCAACTTACAAAATGTCATCAAAATCGGTCCAGCCGTTTAGGGAGGAATTCCGTCACATACACACGGACAGAAGAATTATATAATATACTAGCTGTTCCCCGCGACTTCGCCCGCGTGTAATTTAGAGTTTTAATTATGTTGCGCGGAACCCTAATTATTTTTCTAAAATATAAGTAGCCTAAGTTACTCCTTATAACTTCAGATATCTGCCAGTGAAAGTCTCGTCTAAATCGGCTAGTCGTTTCGAAGATTAGCCGGAACAAGCAGACAGACAGACAGACAAAAATTTTACAAACTGCGTTCTTGTTACAAGTACCGTATATACTAATATGTGAAAACACGCATTTAGTAAAAGCTGTTATTTTGACATTATAAACAGACACTTCAATCTTATTTATTTGTATAGATAATAGGCATGTACATATAAACCTTTCTCTTGAAGCATTCTGTCTATTTATGAAAAACGCATTAAAATCCGTTGCGTAGTTTGAAAGATCATACAGTACGTAACGTACAGACGTTGGGAAGCGACTTTGTTTTATACTATGTAGATTGTAGATATTAAACTAATTAATAGAATCAGGTATTACTTTGCGGCAACCCAATATATTATTAAAGATGTTAAAAATGTATTTGTCAAGATCCGCACAATACAATAAAATTATATGTCTTATCCTACCTAGTTTTAAGACCACCGCAGTCTAATACGTGTCGTGTAAAGCCGCGTCTCCACCAAAGTTTTGTTATCAACTGTTGTGTTGCCAACACGTGTTGGTAACTAATGTTTCTGTAATTATCTAGTATTGGCAACAAAACTTGAAAAAATATCGGGAACCGTGTTTCCACTTTCGGCGGCAACATCAAAGGAATACGCTTGTTTGTTCCCTCGGTGACGTTTGTTGGAAACATTTGTGGGCAACATCAGAAACAAATGTTGGTAACTTTTGTTGAGTTGTAAACTGTAGGAAACATAAATGTTGTCAGCATTTTTGGTGGATACGCGGCTTTAAGGACGGTGGTGTGTCATTCCTAAGGTAGTGGTGTTGGTAGTAGTAGTGCTGAGATTATGTAGTGACGGGGATAGTGCGCGCAAAAGTTCCAATGTTTTATTGGTCCTTTACTATATAATTAAATTAACCAATTACACCCTCTTAATAAATACAATTGCAAAAAAGTTGACAGTTTAGCTTAAAACACAAACGATGACATTGAAGATATATTTACAACAAAATAAAAAATGAACCGAATTCTAAAATTTAAACTTAAAAATTAGAATAAAACATTTTTAAATACGATTTCATGCGACAAAACGTTGGAATCTTAATTTTTAGGCGCTAGTAGAACATACCGACGCGCTTTAGCGCTTACGGCATGCAATAATTATAAGCACCTTATTAAAAAGTAGTAATCTGTAAAGCGTTTAACTACTTATTCTATGTTAATTTACTTTAAGGAAGAAACTAGCATTTAAGACACGGCTTGGCCTAGTTTAAAAATGCTAGCAATTATTATCTTTTAGTGTACACTTCGTTACAATTTTCCAAGTATTAAAATTTTATTAATTAAAATACCATAATGATTTCTTATATTTACGCGAACACTACACATTGAATAAAACTACTTTTACGGATTCTATCGCGTTTAATTAACTGTTTTTTTATTGATTCCCGACGTTTCGGTACGTAGTTTTATTCAATTAAAATACCAATTTTCTGTACAATTAAATATACAACAAAAATTACATTCATAAGAAATGTTCACAGCCTTAGTGGTTAAACATATTTTTTTATTCGAACGAAACAACATCATACATTCATGAACCTACCTATTTAAAAAAAAAATTGTTGTACCCGAAACTTTAATCTTGAAGATTAGATAATAAGTGTGTACCTACCACATTTTGTTTATCAATAAACATTATTATTATTAATTGATTTGCTCTTCAAACAAGGTAAGACGCATCATTTTATTTTAATACGCGGATCTTGGCTAATTAATTTTTAACATCCTTATTAAGATTGTACTTAAATCTATACATATAAATAAAA